TTTTTCAAGTGACAGATCATCTGGCCTGAAGAAACTTTCAGACTGATTCCAGCCGTTCCCCATGAAAATGCACAGTTTCCCTTACAAACATCTCTTTGATGAACAGCAAAGGCATACAATGAATACACTCGTTTCATCAGCATATAAATGGTCTTGCAATGTCTCTTGTCTAACTTTCTGTTGTCTTTCAGCTTTCATGAAGGCTTTAGAAATCTAGAAATTTAGAAATCCAGAGATTTCTGGGTACCAGTACCATCTTAGCTTAGATCGGAACTCATCCTCACAGATGTTGGCTTTTCTGTGTTCTATGAGACATGTGGCAATCCAATAAGGGTACTTGAACTATATCGAATTTTAATTTCCATACATGAAAGAAAGCTCAAAAGTAGCAACTTTTATGGAGAACCAAGCCAGAGAGGGCCAGAAATGAATCAGCGAAAACCAAAACACCAAATAGAGCAAGCGTGTGGCACATCTTTTCAAAATGCCAGCAGCGCTTACACAATGAGAAATGATGTGACTTCAACAATTAGCAGGACTGCAGGGGGCAGAGCCTCTCAATGATTGTAGAAGTTGGATGAGGGATTTCTGAAATGACTGAAAATTCATCAATTTATTTTTTGGAACGACTCATCTATGCTGCCTATACTCTTATATCAAAGGTAAAAAACGAGATCCAAAACGAAGTTAAAATGAATTTCATCCCCTCCACAACTATGGAGACTGCTGACTTGAGAGAAGTTTTGCCCACAGAGGAGAGTTAAGAGTGCAAGGGAGAATCAACAGGCCCACACCTATTTCCCAAAACCCAATCTCCAATAATCGTTTACTGTCTCCCTGATCGTGTTTGGCAATTTACACCCAAGCACTCACAGCTCAGACCAGCCCTACCCATAACTGCATTTGAAAGTGAAAGAACTTTATTAAGATTTTTACAGGGATCCATGCACGTGAACTTTGTCATGAAACCATGCTCACAATTACATTGGTTACATTGGAATGAGCTCTCATTTAAATGCACGAATACCTTGACTCACAGAGATTTCAAAACATTTGAAAATACCATTTAGCATTCTGTCTCCTATTTCCCTCATTCTCAAATTCCAAAAGAATTTGAAAGCAAAGAAACCCAGTACTCATCTATCGCAGTGAAGTCAAGTGTCGCTCATTGCTTACATCATGAATTTACATGGCATGTCCTGATTCACAGTGATAGTTTGACATTTTCAGGCATCATGATTTACAAATTTGTATGCTTTTAACTTATTTGCATTGTAATTTGCAGCAAGTTAAGTCAAAAACTGCATGCAATAGGCAGTTTTTCCACTTTTCTGTGGCACACAGCATTTAATGTGGTAACTTCTAGACAGTAGTGAATGGGTTAGTATGAGATTCATGAATTGTCTTTCAGGCTCACAGCAGGAAGGTAGTCCTCTCACTTGACTTTGCCATTAAGCTGAGCTTAATTCTACAGGTAAATGGGCCATTAAGATGTTCATTCACCCACTCTTTCAGTTTGCTGCAAGGCAAGAAAAATCCCTTTTTTTTTTTCATTCAAAGTAATTTCCAGATACAATCCATTTTTCACATCATTTGAGTTCCACATGGGAGTTGTTTTTTTATTTAGAAGAGTTTTTACATATAGTACACTGGTAAGTTGACTTTATTAACCCTTCAGAAGTTGAATATTTCTGCTCTCAGGGGTTCTCAGCAGGGATCAGGGCTCAGATACTTTTTTTTGTGCATTTTGTAGATTACTAGAATTTAATTTCTTGATAAGGATTTGAACTCAGGACCCTCATGTTTATAGGAGTTCCAAAACTTGTTTGCAAAAAGGTTTATAAATTAAATTATAGTTACTGCTGGCTGGATTTTTGGAGAATTCTTTCCTTACATCATGATCCAAGAACTTGATCAGTATCACCAGGACTTGCTTAGGAATCCTCACAACTATGGCTTGCAATCAATTCCAGTAGGTGGTTATTATTCCTGAAGATGGAAGGAATACAAAGTAAGCTTCCATGCACAACACTGTCCCAGTAACTGCAAAAGTAAGTAGAGATAGAGGGAGACCTTTTGAATGCACCTATCCTCATGCAAAAAATATTGGGACTTCTTGAGGAATTTCCCATATCATGCCATCTACACAACCTGTTTGTGTATGCAGGATTGACTTTCTGCCTTGAAGAGTACTTTCTTTCAGCGAATGAGCAACATTGTCCTTTGTGACTGTCTTTCTTTTACTACTGAGAGAAAAAAGCCCTAAGCAATATTTTCCCTCTTCTGATACCCTAAAACCAACAAAAGCAGCATGTTTTAAAGCAGAAAAGTCCACTTGGGACACTGGAAATAAACTCAAAAGCAATTTCCTCAGTACATGAATTCCTGCTTCAGAACATGAGGAAATTTAAAAGGAAAAATGGATATATGTTTTAGTTTCAATACTATCAGCCTCATATTTGGAAGGAAGTTAATCCCCTGCCTGATAATATCCAAGTCCACCTTTCATTCTTGCACATGCAACTAAATTGATTAAATTCTTACATGAGGTAGTCATTAAATTCTGCCAAAATCACAGGTTGCAAATATTCAGTTTTTCCTGTTATGGTAGGTTGGGTGACACTTCCTTCCAAAAGTGCTCTTGAGGAGCCCTAGTTCATCAAGAGCAAAAGGAGTCAATGGAAGGAGCCACCATGAGCCGATTCCAGATGGACTAACCAGTGGCATATCCAGGCTGCAAAAATGAAATATAACTCAAAGCTATCCTAAAGCAGGAATGCAAAACCTGTGGCCAGCAGTAACAACATCTGGGGCCCTCTCTTAGTTAGTCGCCTGGATCTCTAACCTCATGACAGATCTACTAAGTGCCTTTTCACAAGCCTTCAGAGTTTTACCCACCTCTATGGCTTAGATAAATACCACCAAGTGTTAGTGTGGCTCCTTAATATAAAATTTTGCGCATCCTTGTACTTGAGTAACTTACTTGCAATCTCACTGAATTCACAAAGCCAACTATACAAGTCCCAGAATGAAAACAGCATATTAAAATCTGCTACAATTGCCGATTCTGAAGGTGGGAGACGGAAGCATGAGATATGGATTCCAGCAGTACAGAAACCCGAGGGTTGCATGTACGCAGAAAGAGCAATGGTGATTACAAAGGAGATCCATTTGATTGTAACAGAAACATATTTTTTTTAAAGAGCTTTTCATTATTGCCTATTTTTTCCGGTCCATATTTTCTAATGTGCAAATACAGAAGTTCCATGTGAAAGCTTTCTGACATGAAAAGCATGTTAGTGAAAAAATGTGACACAAAATATCCCACACACATTCACTTCCTTCACATGAGCAGAGATAAAATTTGATACAATCTTGTATCTGCCCAATCCCTCAGGGAAAAATGAGACCAGTAACAAAATCACTTTGCAACTAAGTTTTTTTTATTTTACTTAATTTTAGATTGCAAAAAAATTCATTTATACGATAATCATTACTTATTAAACTTAGTGTGCTCATGAATTCCCTTTAAAAAGCAATGAACCCAAATGAAAGAGGGGTTAAATGGGACTATCAGTTCATCCACAACTAGCACCATTTTACTTTTATGAATGTGGGCTTGCATTGGCACTATGACTAATATTACTGCACTGACTACATCATCATTTAAAATCCAATTCAAATACTTTCAACATCATCACTCTTTATTTGTTTCCCTCAAGTCATTACTTTCAAGGCAGGTGAATTTATTTCGTGTTTTTTATTTTTCCCGAAATGCATGAAGAATCCAGTTGCCAAATATGAATGCATGCATCACAGAAGACTTCAATTTCTTCTGGGAATCAACTGCTCCTTAACCCATATGTGTAGTTGTGGTGTAGGTGCAGTGCTCACTTTATTTTTGTAGCCAGACAATTTAAACAACACAGTTCTTCTTTCTCCCTCTAATGAAAATCGCCAAAAACTCAATGAAAAAAACAATGGTAAAATGTGGAAGTGCATATAATTTTAGGTACCAATACCAAAAAGAGAATTGACAGGTGAGGAGGCAAGTTTAATGTATGCCTGATTTCAAATCACAACTCTTGGATAGAGAACTCCAGCTAAAAGGGCATATTTCCTTTCAATTGAGGCAAAGATGAAAAAATGACATCAGATTGACTTGTAACATCTTCTGCAACTTCTGGCCAAAATGTATCGAGTGGCCCTTTAAAAAAAAAAAAAAGATAAAGAATACATTAAGTGCATCAATAGATACTTATTAGAAGAGAGGGATAAATAACAATTTTGGAGTGCTGAGATCATGTGGAAAATTTCATAAATCAAAATCAAAATTGAAAAATGGGGCAAGATCTTCCTGCTTTTCCAGTCATCTTGCAGAGAAAGTCCACAGTCGCTTGACTCTTAGCTCCTCGTCACTCCAAACAGCTTCCCTGGGGGGACAGCCAAAACACACGGGGTTATATTAAACAAATAGGAAATATAAAAAAAAAGACACTACTCACTCAAGATGCAGCTTCCACATTCCATTCTATAACACCTTTTTGAAATTCAAATTCTTCTAAATGAAACAGGAAAAAATACAAAAAAGCTGTAATGAGGAAGCTCAAGGTGGAAATTTGTTTTCTAGAACATAAGGTATCATTTTACATAGAAAAGGTGAGTTTTTTCAACAGTCTATTTGTGAATAGTAGAACCATTACAAAATGAAGCAACAAAGCATGGTAACTCCACTAATGACATTACCAATAATTTCAAGTTTATGTCTTCTACTCAACATTTACTTATATAATAATTAAATGCAAACAGAAACATAGCACTGAACTCACCTGCAATGCTAACAACCCAAGATGCTGAAACACATTAAATCGAAAATGCAAAAAACACCTCAAGTTTGACTTCAACTCCCTTACCCAACACAGATCTACCACCAGAGAGATTCCCTGTCCATTCTCATGGGGTGCTCGTTGAACCGATTCACGCAGGCTGATGGGACGAACGCTGGCATGTCAGCCTGTGCACTACGAGGGTGTCGCGTCGGTTGAAGGTCTTACCACATTCGACGCAAGAGAACGGCCTCTCTCCCGAGTGGATGAGAGCGTGTCTGGTAATGTTACTCTTCTGGCCATTTTTGCACCCGCATGCACTGCAAAACCACAACTTTCTTCCGGTTGCAGTGTATCCACTCCACACATAGTCGGAGGTGACTGTGATGGTCTGCAATAAAATTAGCAAAAAGTGAAAAATGAAATTAATGATGATTTTCAAAAAACTACAGAAAAATAATTTTCATGAAATTATAAAAGTAATTCCAATGATATGGAAATTCTTTATCAGAACTCAAGATCGAAACTCCTGTAGCATCAACAGGTGCAGAAAATATTCCAGACAGAGGTGAGAATAGAAATAAGATTTACCTGATGAATAAAAACAATGGCAATTTTTGGGAAAAATTATGATCCTGAAATATGTTAATTGCCAGATTGATAATGACCTATATTGAGAAACATTCACAGATATGACTGAGTTGATGCTTCTTGATTTAAAGTTGTCCTGATAACAGTAAACATTTTTAAAGGGAAAATTGAGTATAACATAAAATAAACTTTAAATTTGGTTATCCTTGGTTAATCTTCTCTGCGACACACTGAGGAATCTTGGAAAAATCACCGAAGGATCTATTTCAGGAGGGATGCTTGGAGGGAACTCCTGGCTGTTCAGTGGTCCCTCCTCGCCCTCCTGATAATATGAGGCCTCTCCATCCTCGTCCCATTCTCGCTGCTCCTCCTACGGAAATAAATCGCGAGACTGGTTCAAGCCGTCGCCAGACTTTTGAGAGGTGCCAGGATTTGAAACACCTACTGGCTGTTCACATTGCTCGTCCTGCAGGAAATCCTCTTCCACATCCACAATTTCTTCTTTGACAACAGGCTCTTCCTTGGCAGGACTGCCACTAGGACCAGGCATAGAACTCAAGGCAGTGGTCATGGGTGACTGGGTCATCACTGCATCCTGAGACTGAATCAATCACAAAGGAAACTTAGAAAGATTATGCCTGGTGTGAAAAAAAAAAAAAAACTTGCTTATTAAGTGTTAAGTTGTACAGAATTGCATGAACCTGGGGACCATGCTTCCTCTATGACCTTGAACCATACTACCATGAAGCCCCAAGTCTAATTTACACAACAGCTAGAAAAGAAAGCCACAGTCATACCTGTGGGCACATTTTTAGCTGACATTTTTATGAAAGAAGCAGTACAAAACCAACAAAAAAAAGTAAAACGATTGAAATTTATAGAGCTGATAGCTAACTTGAGGCATCATCCTTGATGAGGAGGCCATTCCAAGCGTACTTCGAGACACAACACGGGGACTGGCAGGTGGATGGAAGCTATGGTATGAGGTCTTTGGAAACTTGGAGTTCTTGTCATATGACATCCAGGTGGCGTTGCGCTTGTGGGCCAGAGCATCTTGCGGACCCGAGGTGGGGACCGTGGGTGCACCTGAGCTGCACGGGGCCTTGGGGCGGTCACCTTTCAACCCCTTCACTTCCAGGGCCTCTGCAAGCTCGATGAACTTCTCCAGGTCCACCGAGGGGACGTCCACTTCCCCGAGGTACATGAAGTCCAGGAGGAACTTCAGGAGATGGGCATCCACACCAAAGAAATACATCACAGGGTTGTGATTCGCGTCGCGCTGCAGCACGCGCTCGAAATACCCCGATCCGGCACAGAGCACCAACTTGTGTGCCTTTATGGACTGGCCCTCGCACGAGAGTATGACGTCCACGAGCCTTTCCCTGCTTCGGAGGGCGTCGAAGCTGCTGAAGGTCTCGGCATGGTGGGAATTCCACTTCAGGTTATACTTGCCACCAGTTGCCATAGTCTGACACTATGTTAACATGGATCCAAATTTAAAATTCTAGGGGAAGAAAGTCATACACACAACGTCAAAACTATGAAATGCCCAATGTCATCAAATAGAGAACCCAGGACGATCGTAAGTCTCTCTCGGGTAACCAGAATAAGCTTCGCGTCACACGGAAATTGCCCATTTCGCTAATCCTACAATCCATCCCAGTCCCTACAAGCCCACGATGAATCTCTCTGCATGCTTCATCCATCACTCCCCTGTCAACTGACATGGAAGATCAGGAAATCCACCAGGGACAAGAGTGTGAGACGTATCTCCAGTGATGCCAACTACTCCAACGTCCATTGGAAGATTTTTGGAGCAACCCTTATGATTGGAAGGCTTTCTAACAACACATTCCATGCTTCTTGCATGGATCTAATAAGTTTCTGTCTGGTGCTCTCCCGAACTTTCCTTGTTTGTCCGACTCCTCATCTCCATTTAGGTCAGCAGCATGTTGGATTTATACAAGATTGGCATGGGGGAGTAGGAGGAAACAAAATGGCAAAAAACAAAAAAAAGGGGGGGTTGAAAGATAAGATAAGCAATAATTAATTATCATTAAAGAAAGGCAGGCTAATCTCAAACTCATGTAATGCCTAAGGAGAAGAGGCCTACAGGATGTTCCCCAAGTGGGTGAAAAAGACATAGGATTGAGTGTGCCAGTGGCATGCCCAAAGGGTTTTGGGGGTCATAACCTCCTCCTTGGGATCAAATTTACAGGTTTAATTCCGAATTTTTTTTTTTTTGGCCACAAATTCAGGGTGGGTTACCAGTTTTTTTCATATGGCAACCCTCCCCACATATTTGGATTTCCTGGGCCCGCACCTGGAGTGCAATTGACAGCATGGCAGTGGTGTGCACAAGGCAAATAAATAGCCTGTCAAAATGTCGCAGTTAAACCCCAAAATCATTGGAAGTGACAAAGTCGACGTGCCCAACTCGGGAACAGCACTCAACTATGAAGCATGCAAGCACGCCTAACGTTACGTTGAAAACTTAGGCCTACCAAAGAGAGGCTTCCGAAAAGCAGGCGTGCTTGACTGTTACGCCCCAAGCTTTCACAAGACAGGTAACATTTTCTGCTTTTCTTGGCACTCTTTTCCCCATCCTCCCTTATGGCCACAACATCAAGGCGAGACCGACGTTCCATTATTCCACCTGGTTCGCAAAACACGAACTGCAGCAAAGTGGCTTGACCTGCCACCGACGACGACGAGCGACGCACAGACGAAACGACCTCTCAATCCTTCCCCACCCACCAAAGGCACAGGGACACGCACGTGGACCCCGACCGACGGACGCCGCCATGACGCGACGCGAGCGCCCCCACGACTTCCGATGCGGGAACTTCGACGTCGACTTGGGGGCGGGTCTCGCTCTTTTCACTATCTAAATATCTGGTTTATTCCTGATGCGCAGTGAAAAGGCATGAATGAATAAAAGAAAAGGGAAAACGAGAAAATAAATGCCCCATCGTTTGGAATCATTGACGTATCCTCGGCCGGGTATGCACAGGAGCAAGCGAGAACGAACGGGAAAAGGAGGGAGAGCTGGAACACTGAGCTAAGAAAGAGAACTGGGGTGCGTTAAGTAGCTAAGCTGCTGCGCAGCGGCTCGCGCAGGGAGGCAGTTAAGTGGAAGGGCTGGTCAGCAGGGGCTGGAGTGCTGTCTCAGCGCATCTCTGAGGAGCTGTCAGTAAGACATTCCGTCATGGCGACTCGCTCAAGCCCGTTGTGTGAAGCTAGGATTGAGCCCATTTTAATTCGGTTTCCGGAGGATAATCGTGAAATGACAGTATATCTATCCCAAGAAGACCAGGTTCGCCTAACACAAGGTGAGTTGGTGTATTCTTTATTTTTAGTTAGGGTTATGCTGACCTGACAGGTGTTCTCAATCCAGTTACGCATTTTTGCATGACTCTGACATGAGTTGAATTTCTCGTTGTTGGAGCCGTAATAATACGATGAATGTGGATAAGTTAGACCAAAAATTTGCCTACTCAACCATTGAATCTGCTGCGTGCAGATGGTAGGCTTAGGCCTAGGTCTACGTCATCGGGCTTTGATGCCTTTAGTTGGGCGTTGTACTGAAAAGCTTGAATCCTCTTTGTCTGCAGCCTAGTCCTACTGTGCAACCTAAGTAAATTTTAAAAATTAACCCTGTGGAATCGGCCCATCCCTAGGTATGTTATAAGATCTTCTTGTGGACCTGAATTAATGTAAATTATACTTTACTATATTTAACACAGGTTCCAAAGGCCTGATTTCTCAAAAAAGATCAATAAATATTGCTAAGGGCTATTGGCAATAAGTACCAGGACATAAATTTTACCTCTTTTTATTAATGATACATGTTCTCACAGATGAGCAGTTCCTTCAGGAGTTGTTAAAGAAGGTATCTCAAGAAACTGCTTTGAAATATCCATTGAGTCCTTCATCTGACTCCTTGGGGTCATCTGCTTCATCCTCATCAATGCCCCTCTCACCTGAGACGTTGCCTACTGAGATACTTCAGGCAGAAACACCTTCAACCCCTGGTCTGTTGATTTAGCTGCTTTAGTATTAATAGTCACCCCAGCTAGAAGTAGTACCCCTATTTCTTTTTTAAGCGATTGAGGATTGTGAAGTTCATAAGATGTTCTTGAAATTGAACATCCTAAAATACCTGACAGCAGGTACAATGTTTTGAACATGAAAGGGCAACAAATACACAGAAATTCATTTATTCAGTGATATTGTACATTACAAACAGTAACAACTGTACATGCACTTATTTGATAGATTAAAGTCTGCTTTATTGGGACAAGTGGTTCATGAAACCAAAATTTCCAAAGAATACCACTGTTGTTGATCAGTATCTCCTTGTTTATTTCAGGGTTCACCTGGACATTGGAATCTACAAAGTTGCTCTTGACCCTTATCCTTGAAGAAAAGGGTGCATTTGATGATAATATAACGAAAAAGAAGACAATCTGGAACAGGATTGCTCTGAAAATGAAAGCGCAAGATGGCAAATTCCAGGGTGTAACTGGAGAAATATGCGAAAAGAAATTTAGAAACATGAAGCAAACATATGTGGGGATCAAGGATAACAACAAATCAACAGGGAGAAAAAGGAAGGCATGGGAATTTATGCCAATGATGGATGACATATTTGAGAAAAGTCCTCAGGTCACACCCTTGTCTGTCATTGATAGTACTAAGCATAATGCAGACATCCCTGAAACCATCAAACATGCCAACAGCAGCCAAATAAGTAATCCTCAAAGTTCAAAGCAAGAAATGGGTTCACAAAAGCCATCCATCTCAGAGTCAGGCCCACCACCCACAAAAATGAGATGCAAAGGGAAAGTGAAAGATGCTGTCAGCAATCTGGAAAAGGCCATCCGGGACTATGGGATGGACCGGAAAAAAGAACATCAAGAGAAAATGGATGTGTTACGAGAGTCGAAAGATCTGCTAGAGAAGCGTAACACTCTACTGGAAAGGTTATTGAAACACCTTGAAAACAAGTGAACTTTTCTATGAATCATGGTTGCTTTTTCCCCTGGATGAGTGCTTTTTATATGTATGTTTGTTTTATGCATTAGATAATGCAGATAAAGAACAGTATGATTACCATCAAGGTCAATTCTTTGCTTTGGAAACATTTACTACTTTCATCCAAGTGTGTCACTCAAAACTCTTCGTTTCAGTTTTGCAATGGATTCACTTGCACCAGTGGACCTCACATCAGGAGGGGGATCAATTGAATCATCATCCTCATTGTCTTCACACAACCACTCTTCATCATCACACTCTATCTTCAAAATAAAATTGTGCAACACACATGCTGCAGCAATCACAGTTGAAGCTAAGTCGGTTCGTGACATGTCCAAGTAACGCAGTCGCCGGAACTTCCCCTTCAGGCGGCCAAAGCACCTTTCCACTGCACTTCTTGCACTAGACAACTTCTTATTGTAACGTACTTGCTTCTCAGTCAGGTGCCCATTGTCTTTGAAGGGGACCATTAAATATGTGCACAATGGATAAGCACTATCACCAACCAGGTACCCCTGTCGTGGAATTATCAACTCTCCATTTAACAACCGTGAGGCTAGATTACTGTTTCGAAACACCCGTGCATCATGAACACTTCCAGGCCAACCCACATTAATATCAAGCAGCCTTCCCATGTGGTCTGCCACACCTTGAAGGATGATTGAATGGAAACTCTTCCTGTTGATATATGCTGCCTGGTCTTCTTCTGGAGCTTTAATAGGAATGTGACAGCCATCTACAGCCCCAATGACACCAGGAAAACCAGAGCGTGCTCTAAAAGCCTCTTGGATGCTCATGGCCTGGTGATCTGATGGCCAAATAATATGCTCATTCTGCAGTAGTGACAGTGCCTTGCACATTTTCATGAAAAGGAAATGTGCATTCCCCTTGTTGCAATTGAACCTGTAAATAAGATATTGATTCAGAATTCTCTTTAGTATTTTAAAGAAATCCTAATAGTCTGACATGAAAGCAAAGTACCAGTTCTACATGCGGTTTTGTCGTGGTAAGTGAGAGCTTAACAATTGGGTAGCAAAAGGAATGCAGAATAATGACTGCTAACTTTTGAAGACTGAAAAATGAAATTCATTGTTTGTTATTGAAGGTCTTTCCAAAGAAGCATCTGCACTGATCAACTGGGATTGTCAAATCATTTATATTTTATATAATAAATTATTTATAATTATTCAATAACTGCATTTCAGAAATAAAAACTCTCACCGATCAGCCACTCCTCGAAATGATTCCAAGTTGCCAAGTAACCAAAGAGTTAGGTATAGCTGATAATCTACAGGTACATGTAGTGATGCGTCCTTTCTCACCATCATGATTTCTTCAGCCAGTTTCTGAAATCCACCAGGAACAAGAATTATAATTTCCTGACAAAAGTACACATACACTCAGGATATCACTGAATTCATTATACATACCTGGAATGTAGATCGATTCATTCGAAAGTGGCTTTTGAAATCTGAGCATGAATACCGTGGTATTGTCTCCTCATAAAACTGTTCAACTGCAACAGTCCCATGCCTTCCTGCACAGTCGCTGTCAGTGCACTCACAATCCTCCTTTACAGCTTCAGCCAGCTTGGCACAAAGACTTGCTCCAGTAAATGTGATACGAAAAATGTACCATGTGAACAGTGACAATAGGCCCATCTAGTCCATGACGTATGGATGAGCCTAGCCCTTCCAACATGCGACCAGGGACCCGTATACTGCACTAAGGAATAGGCCTACTTTGGTTAGGAGGCACCCTAGCTTAGGTCTTTGGCTGCACAACAAAACAGGTGGGTAAAAAACAAGTGATAGACCTTGGAAACATAAGTTTGAAGATAGCATAACTCACAGCAAACGGCATCGTGAACTGAACTGTCTTCAATTTCTTCTCCAAAAAGGTTCAAAGGGTCGTTATCATCCGTCAGTTCATCAATAATGAGAGCAGCAAGGAGCGATGCGTGCAGCGCCATTTTTGCTTTACACAAGCCCTCAGTTTAGTGGTCCATTGTAAGCTGGAGCCCAGCGGCTGTGAGGCTGCTGAGCATCGCTCTCTCCTACTTAACGCACCCCTGGCAACAAAACAATGGATTTGGGGCAATTGGAAGCCATCTTAGTTGGGTCTGTGGTGGCTCTTCTCCATTCACTACAATGGGATTTTCATAATTTCCCATCCCAGTTTTCTTGCTGTCGTGATCATGATGGCAGGTAGTCATGTTACTGGAGGCCTAATCATTCTGGGGGAGTATCATAGGGCTGATGACGTCATGTCGGAACTTTTCTTTCATGTGGGCGAGTCTCCTATTTCTCGAGTGGGCCTCCAAGTTCCAGGCCTGCCTTTGCTGAGATTGCTGGGCCTACGAAGGCGATAACGTTACGCGGCCCTTGCATCATCACAGTCGACATATTTCACAGCAAGTCTAAGGCATAAAGTCAAACGAACTTCGAGTGAACGTTCAAAGGTAAACATAGGCTAAAGGAAACGAAGGGCAACCACGAGGCGCATGGTAGAGGTGTTGGCGGGTATTTGCAAGGCATGCTAGAGTATTCAGAAGGGCTGCTCCAGTGTTCCCGCGGTACCTGCTCCGTTACTCGGCCAATGCTCACCGCAGGCCCGCTTTAGCCTAGACCCAACCAATATGACACGCCATCTCCAGTTCTATTTCTTAGCTCAGTGAGCTGGAATCCCATTCATCGACAGGGTCTCACCATAGATGTCGCTGGGGATCCTCTACATCGACAAGGTCTCTCCTTAGATGTCGCTGTGATCGGACGCACCGCGAATCCCCGCCCCCTGCTCGACCAGACCAATCACAATGTTTTTGCGACTGTGGAAGGAGCTGACAGCACATGCAAGGAAACAATTTCGGCTGGTCGATTTTTTTCCCGGCTGTTTCTAGTTCCAGATCTCGTGGAAAAAATTTCCTTCGTTAACTCGGGATTTTTGGGATTTTCTTGATTGCAAAAAAAAAAGGACTTGAAGTTTTCAACTTGTACTCTAAGAGAAACCACAAAATAGTGCTCAAGAGCAATGACAAAGCTTCCATTGGTATTGGAGCTATCTTCACCGACTCTCCCCTCCAACAATACTGCATGAACAAAGTGCCTTCTGATCATTACTTATGTCGTGGAGTGATCATCATCCCCCGCACATACGAGTCGCACCCGATCAATTAGAAAAGTTTCAAGGCAGGATTCTAATCTGGGCAACAGGTGTCAATATTGTTGTTGATGGGCTTGATGCCCATAAAACAGAATTGAGTTGCATGTCAAAGAATTAACATGTTTAATTCCGGCAAATTTATTAAATTTTCTAGAGCAAAATTTGCTGTAGCAAAAAAATAGTTGCAGTTTTGGCTGTAAATATTATAGAGGAAGTGAACAGTAACTCTTTCTTTGAAAACAATAGAGAGGGATTTGGTGGTGGTGGCAATGAAAGTAGTAGCAGTGTTTTGGATAGAACAATAATGATATATTTCAACTAAAACAGTAGAAAAAAAAGCAGCACTATACCAAGGGCTTCTAATTGAGAAGAGGCGTCAAAAAACCACAAACAGAGGAATCCTCCCACCCGCACCATCTCTCATCTGAAGCACCGTCTCATCCGATCGTCCAGTTCCTCTGAAAACGAAGAGGAAAGGGTCGTGAAAAGTCGCAAGGCGACGGGAAAGGGTCTGTTGCACGGCTCCCAAACGCTTTCGGCATCGGTCAAAACACGAAAATGGGACACGTCGCAATCGGCCACTTACCTCGACCGTGTCACAGACGGCCAGCCGAGGGCTGGAATTATGACACACAATGGCATGGAATATTAGAAGCAGGATCCAAAGCGAGTCGATTACAGAGATCTGGGTGGAACCGAGTCAAACTCGATCCCATTTGTGAGATACAAGGTCAAAACCACTGGTATTTTGTACCTCACCCTGGACAGAAAAGTTATCAGCCAATCTGCTAGATTTTTTCATAGAATTTTTCTGAGATATGAAGGTTCACACATGACATCTGATGATGACCACTTTAGATCAAACGTGAAAAGTAGTGGAAAAAAAAGGTCAAAGTCATTCAGATTTAGATGCATGTACAAGTATTTTGAACCAGTTCATACCATTGAAACAGCACCAAAAACTTGCCAGTAGGAGCATTTTCACGTCTGAACTCGTGCTTGGGGATAGAGCTGGCACTATATCCTTCAGCTAATCATGTCATCTTTGTCTTTCTTCCCATTCCTTTTTTTTTTTTTTTTTTTGCTCAGTTATAAAGAGCTTCGAAGACATGGGTTTCCAGGATGCCTCTTTCATGTTACCATTATATCTACACAGTGAAACAGGTGCCTTTAAATTCTATGGAAATCTATCATTTAACATTGTATCCAATTTTCCTTTAGCATTATACCTAATGGTTCATTAACCATGAATTCAATACAGGAGTTAACACTTTCTGTTGCCCTGATTGCAGTTGTTAAAAGATGTTGAGATGTGAACATATTACACCACTAGAACATGTAGTCCTTCTTGGGGTTGTCAGGAGGAAGAAGGAGAACTCATTCGCCCCTCACCTTGGCTGAGTGGGGGCAAGTCAGCCAGGATCCTCTCAAGCTGCCACAGTAGGGGCACCGTGTGGTCGTCCCAGAATACATGAACTCTCCCTCCAAAAGATATCCTTTCCGTCGTGGGACGCGAGCCGTGTCCATAGATTGGGGGCAGATGGTTTACTGACATCCATGGCACACTGGCAGAATCTAAATAGAGAAGGAAGAAAGGGGATGTGAAAGATCACATATACACTTGTTTTCAACCACATCTGAAGAAATCAACTCATGATTACTTTTTCCGGGATTTGGGAAATTTCTTCCCACGTGTGTTAATACCACTCTAAAAATGAAATAAATAATAAAAACTGACAGCTTATAGCTAAAAATATTTGTTCATCTATTTTCTTTGAAATATGCATTAAATAAGCTCTTCCTGTCAAGTGCACACACTTTCACACTGCACACTAATATCTCCTACTCCTTCCCGCCTCTCCTTTATTGTGTAACTCCTATCCTGTACAACAATGACACAGACACCTCTTGAAAGAGAGAGTGAAAACACCACAGTAGATCAAATAATTTCCTTTATTTTCCTTCGGAATAAAGCACGTTCAATGTCTGGCTTAGGAGGAGCACAGCAAGTGTGAGGATTTAAAAAATACGCTGCCAGAAGGGGACACTACCATGCATTAGATCAGAATGGATCAATAAAGTACAGGTTTGTAAAAATAAAAATGCCCACAATCATTTGCAACACACTCCTGTTACAGTAAAATGATAATGTTTCCCCTGCTCTGTTTTTTGTGAGGTTTTCATGAATGTGACTTTCCTCACCAATCGATTCCAAGGGAATTGTGAAAAAAGTGTCCTCATCCAAATCTCTCTCATAGAGATGTAAGCACACAATAGTATCCCACAAACAACATGTATGCATATGAGAAGAGTCACTATCTCTCATTCAGTTGTGACTAGCCAATAATCACATTTTTATTTAAATCTCAAAGCACTTTCATGCAACGGGAAAAACAACAAACTCCCCATGAAAGCAGGATAACATAAGGGAAAATGGAGGCATTACATTCAAAACATGCTCAGGAGACTGTGCAGCAAGTGAAGTACCTTAGTGCATGATGGGGAAACATATTGTTGAACTGGGCAGCATCAACATAGAGAAACGCATAAGCATCTCGTGAAAAGCTAAGTCTCAGGACTTCAACAGTTTTTGGAAAATACTTTTTATTTTTAACGTGTGTATGAAATCCAATTTGCACTGATCATGGCCCCCCGTATTAACAAGTAGACTGCTGAGAATTTTAATGCCCATCCAAACTTGCCAAGCACTGCAGAGGAGGTCAACTGTGCCAAACACACAGTATAGCATGAATGGCAGTGAAAGTGATATCACAGTGAAATATGCCAATGATAGAAAATTACATTTCACTGGAAAGCCACATTTACTTATCTTTCCAATCAAATGCTACTCTCTATTATCATAAAATACAATGATGAACAATTATGGGGTAAGAGGTTCTTTGCTACATAAAACAGTTAAAAGGGAGAGAGAGCTTTTAATGAAAGGGAATATTATGAAGCATGAAGGATATCTAATCAGCACTCCCTCCCCTCACACATACGGCTGCCAATGAATATTTCAAGGTTTCAGCAAAACCTGAAATTTGGTTCCATCTGCCCTCAACTTCTTGCCTAATAAGAGTGAAACACAGGTGGACACCGAGTGGTGGACAATGTGAACATCGTGGATGACAAGATAACAAAACCCAAGAGACAGGCTCACCAGCTCCAGTTAGGCTGCACTTGAGCCTCTCCCATTTACTCTATTTAAGAAACAAATTGCATGAGGAAATCTGAATTAGTATGAAAGTGTGAAATTTGCTTGACTCACCAAGAGGCGGTCAAAAGACAGTTTCATGGTGCATTTTTGGGATGATCTTTGGTTTGAGAAAATGTCTATAGTCAAGAAGACTATAGACATTGCCAATCACATTTATGCTGCTCAAGGCTAATAAATAAAAAAATCTGAGGCAAGATCCTAGAGTAACCTTAACACTCTTGCCTCTTAAGATTGTAACTCCCCTTTCAGTTCTTAGTACTTACAAGCCCAACTTCCCAGCATCCCACCATCTTTTCAGTTCTCCCCAAACCTTCCCCAGAGAAATGGTTCCAACAAGGAAAGAGGAGAGTGAGTGGTGGCATATTTCACCTTTTGGAATATGAATTGAATGATGTCCTCAGAGGGCCTGGCAGCCAGAATTTTCCTAAGACAATCTTTTAATAGAAGCTGCCAGGCCACTCCAAATTCCTTTAGACCTCACCCTGCCCCATTCTCAAGTCACACAAAGCAAGGAAAACCCAAGGTTTGATGAGGCGGTTTCTTAAACCGAGTTACTCCCTTCTTACATGGCTGCATGCAACAGCATGGCCCATCCGACAAGATGGCAGTGTCTGCAGAAGGATTTTATCCAGCTCCAGGCCGAATAAAATCTTTCTGTGGACCAGATCCAGTCCATGGGCTGGAGTTCTGCATCCATGGCTTAGAGGCATGGCTAAAATAGTCCACAGAAAAAGAGAATGAAAATATAAGGTAATTAGACACTTAATGGGGGTGCTACAATTTACACTAGCAACAGCGGCGTAGGCTTTTAATTGTGAAAAGAACCAATCCCATAATTCCCAATAAAAGTGGATTGAAATAAAAAACAAAACGTGCAACAGATAATGACTTACCGCCACAGGGAACAACAGGGTGGATGCACTGAGTGTTGTCCTCAAACAATAGAATCCAGAGCCAGTCTTCATCATTATGGTCATTCTCATTCATATCTCCTTCCACCTCCTCCTTCCTACACCTATCAAAAGTATATAATTTTATGCAATACAAGTTTATATAATTTTTTTTTGCCAGGGTATCCAAACCTTCCACTCTATGGGGACACGGTCCCCTTCAATATCGTCTCTTCGCGAATCGATAAACTTCTTCTGGTGGGTGTAGAGTTGTTATGAGTATATCTGCAATCCATCCTTTAGAAGGGTCTGTAACTCATTGTCATAGAATACATGATTGCATCCCCATTGGCAATCTCTGGCCCTGCAACATGGTTGCAGGGCCTTACAGTTGGAAGAAGAGAAAACAGTCGCAAGTTTCCATTCCAGTGAAAAGAGTGCCTGGCTGATAGCAGTAATGAAGTGCCAAAAAATATCCAGCTGAATAATGTACTTGCTAGCATGCATCATCCTTGTATCCAACTTTATGATGGGCCACTAAATTACCACCATCAGCAATCCACCCTACGGACTTGGCACCCTCAGACTGTTTTCTCTTCCCGTGGCTCGGTTCCATGCCAAAGAAAAAAATTTCACAATGGGGATGCAATCGTGACAAGCGAGCTGCAGATCCTTCCAAAAGACAGACTGCAAACATGCCACACCTCTACACCCATTGGAATAAGTACTTAAGACTCACACGGGGACAGTATTGCAGGGGAACATGCCACCTTGAGGTAAAAGGTTTGGGTGTCCTGGCTAGAACATCATCCTAACTTCTTGATATATCCTTATACCTTTCCTTCTCCTCCATCCTCCTCATTTTCCTCCTTCTAATCCTCCTCCTCCACCATCTCCTCCACCACCTCCTCTCCACCTCTTCCTCTACCTCTTCTCCTCCTCCACCTCTCCACTTTCTCTCTTCCTCCACATCTTCTCCATCTACTCCCTCCTCCTCCACCACTTCCTCCCTCCACCTCCTCTCCACCTCTTCTCTCCACCACCTCCTCTCCATCTCCTCCCTCCTCCTCCTCCTTCTCCACCACCATCTCCTTTCCTCCTCCTCTCTCCACCACCTCCTCTCTTCCTTCCTTTGCTTCCTCTCCATTTCCACCTTCTTCCTCTGCCTTGCCTTCATCTCCTCCTCCTCCTCCTTTTTCCATCTCCTCTCCATCTCTTCCTTCCTCTGCTTCCTCTCCACCTCCTCCATTCCTTCAGGGAGGAAGGTGTCTGGAAAATATTAATTGAAAACATCCCTATTGTCACATGGGAATTTTTCTTCTCACACATTAAAAGATTTTTATGACTAACATGTGTTCATTTTTGTCACAAAAATCTAAACACTCTTCACACTTCTGCATAGTGCCATTAGGACAGGACAACAACCACAGGAATAAAATATTAAACACCTGCAGAACTTATCAGGTTTCTTTACATTTCTGTTAGATATAAAAAATTGGTTGAAGCAACATATCACTTTGCCCTTTTTATCGCTCTATACGCTTCTCAAATAGTTCACTGTGTGCTCAAGGACATGAAATGCAATCTAATTAAGATGCCTGGAACATGTTGAATGGAAAAAAAGCAGGAGAATCCTCAAAGTAATGTTCCAATTGACACCATGAGGAAAAGGACTTTTATTGCTTAAATTGGTTGAGTCAGACCTGGAATATCTACTCAATGAAATCCAAACTTAGTCTCAGATCTTCGTTGCTTCAATAGGGCTATTTCTACAATCACTGCCTCTGGCAAGAGAATAAGGGAATATATCAGCCTTTTTCTGGTAGAATTTTATGCATTCAAAAGTAAGTTATGAAGCCTAGGAAATATGAAAATTATGAAATAATTACATAAAAACAAGGAAGTATGATAACAGGGGTGCTTTTCTGTTTCTGCTTGATTTAGGCACCTTCTAAACTCAATGGAAAGACAGATTCCTGAGAAAGAAATAGAAAAGGAAAGAGCCACTAGGCATGATGACTTCAGAAAATACTGAGAAATCCTGAATTTTCTCATCATGCCTATATGCCTCATTTAGTGATGGACTTTGAGGACCTTTCTTTAAAAAACAAATTTAGGCTCTTCAGCACTGTCTTCTACACTCAGGACTTTCCTCACTTTAGCTTAAAACCCTCAAACAACAAGACAGACTCCGGTGCAGGATGAAAACAAAACAGACTTTCAGACGCTGAAAAAATCCAACATCTTTCCGGCATTTCATTATATTCCATTAAAAAATTCACAAGAGTCTATTTCCAGATCATACACCCTAGGAGAGAAAAAGAATTGTAGTGAGGAGGGAGCCAAAAAATGGAACATCGGCACAATAACATAAACAATATGATCCAATGAGGATATTTGCATTTTCGCATTTTGGCCAATAAAACAATACAAATTTCATTTCTGGCACTAAGGAGAGGGTTACTCAAAGTTGGATACATATCTTCAATATGACTGCCTTAACTTTCTTTAAACTTTCATTAAGCCTCCCCTCATTTGGGAGAGATGGATGGTACCCCTTCTAATTACATGTTTGGGTCTGATGTTACCTGTGAGAACTTGTGGGTTACTCAGAAATACAGGGTGTGCAGAATGTTTTAAACTATAGTTTAACAGATTTCACACAGGAAGAGTTTATAGTCAGGGAATCTAGAATGTACCAATAGTTTGATGTTTGACATCAAAGAAGAAACTATATGCCAAGAGTTCCACCCACAAAACCGTGCTCCAATTACGTGCTGACATCACAGACGAAGGGAAAGCGGCATGTGAAAAATCAAGCGGGGCAGTCGAGTGGGACTCACACGATCGTTCCTCCCCGACGAGGACGATGCACCTCCGCAGGATGTTCGCCCCTTGCTGGATTAGAGTGAGCACATCCTGTGGCTCCTCATCCTGCCAGAAGTCAAACCTGCTCTGTATAGATGAATACAATAGGTAAGTTCAAAGTGCCTGACAATCCTCAGTCTTCATTTTCAATGTATCCAACAGCCTTAGGCATGAATTCTACCTTAAAAAGAGGAGTTGTGCAGACAAACTAATACTAGGTGCTTTGTTCCCTTGATATATTGTTCCAAATTTATATGCATTCAGTTCAACTTAAGCTCAGTTTAATTTAAACTTCAATTCAGTTCATGTTCAAATCTTTGGATAAAAACATTGTGTTCAGTTAGTATCAGAGGAGCAAAATATTTTCTTAAATGAAGGAGACACATAAAGCATTCACTCTTACAGCTGTTATATTCTCTGCTTGTGCACCTGATGCTCCATTAATGAAATGGAAAAAACTCCATCTCAGAAGAGAATAAATAAAGGGAATTTACTGAAAACCATGGGATTTTGTCCTCATGGTACAATTTTTGTTGAAATGGTTGGCATTTTATAGCTCTTGCCAAGAGGAATCTCAAAATGTAACTGGTATTCTGATTTGAAGGGTTTGATACAGTCAGCATTCACAAATATAAAACTGTGCTGGTAGGATTATGAAAATTGGGCACATTCAACCAACCCATCTATTTGTTTTTCCACTCAGCTTGATGAACTGAACTTTACGACAACCCACTAAACTGGTCACAGGACCTTTGATCTTGAGATGAAAAAAAAAGTACACAACCTAACATTGAGATGATTTTGCAAGGAAAGTTCTCTCAAATAAAAATCAGCAGATATAAAAATTAAAACAACTAAATTAATCAGAAATAAAAATAGGAATTCATCCAACAATAATCATTCCAAGAATAGGCAACAGGTTCCAAGTTATCTGATTTTATACGCAAAGCTCTGCACACGGCTGCTCAGTTTGAAATATGCAGGTAAAAAATTATAACAAAATGAACATCACAATTTTAAGCAATGGCAGCAATTCACACACCACTATGGTTGCTGGATAGCAGCAGGATGTGTAGACTTGAGTGTATAGAACTGCATGCATTGAAAATGATTTCAAAATGCTATGAAGTGAGAGAGCAAGGAGCAGGTGCAGGAGCAGGAAGAAGATGGGAGAAACAAACCTTCAAGAAAGGGAGATGGAGGAGTGACCCCGTGAGGCAGAGGGACAGGGCCACCAACACTCCTCCTGGAATGATTCTCCCGGTCTCCAGTGCCACTGGAGGATTGCCATTTTCCCACTCCACCCCCATTTTTCTCAGAATACCAAGAATTCTGTTGTTTTCATGATCAGCAGCCATTGGAACTTCCCCTGGAAAGTCTGGATAGCATGAAGAGATGTTACATGGTAGATTCAGTTTCAGCCAATCAATGCATGACAAGAGCTCACTCTAAACACAGAGGGGTAACCTGAATGAGATGTTCATCATTCACTTGCAGTCCATTTGTCCAAGTTCCCTTTTTAATGGGCCTCCTTTCCTGAAAAGAAAGAGACCACTTATGGTCCCGCCCTGTCAGCGTCTCCATGTCCACACATTGGTTGTCCGATGATAAATAAGAAAATATTGGCCCGATCACTGCGAAAATAGGCAAGCAAGTAGATATGGAGGTGACATGTGCCGAGTTCATGCGGTGAATTTGCACAAAAATTAACCTTCTTATCGTGAATTTTTAATTTGAAAGTTGGTCATAGTGGGGAAGGCATGAGTACCTATAAGTCCCTAAGGATCTGGGCAACAATGTGCATGTGCATACAATGCAGGCTATGGGCATTGTGCCATGTCAACAACCAGAGATGTCAGTTCTCTACAAGTCTTCATGACAGATGGATCCAACCATGCACAACCCTCTATCCTCCCATCATCATATCATAGGCACTATTTGCCTGTGTTTACAAAATCTGACCGAGAAATGAGATTAGTGATGGTCAAGGACCAGAAAGAGATGGAATTATATTCAAATAGGTTTCAAAATGAGAGACTTTCCCTCAACTGAAAGGAGGCCCACTACTGGACTGGGCTTCCCCAGCTTGTTTCTCATGCCAAGTTCACAGGGTGATCATTGTTACATAATGATTAGTATACCAACAGAAAATGTCTCAATCCTACCTGCAGCAAAGGGTCATGCTATAAAAACAATCTTTAAAACAAATAATTAAAAACTAAGTAACTTATAACACAAAAAATATGCTTTTTTCCATGTGCCTATTTACTAAATAAATAATACTAACTAATATAAAATTTACAGGTGTAAAAATTAGGACAGTAGTACTATTTTTTTATTCACTCAGTGTAATGCTGTCCCCAAAACGACAAATATGACAGCTGGAGTCCTAAGGATCCCGATGCTGTCTCTCGGAAAAGAATGGCTTCTACTTCAACCACTATAAATAAGGATATTACATCTCATTGAGATCATGCACTTACCTCTATCACCCATCCAAATATATCCCCAATCAGAGAAAGGCGAGCAGGAAGAAAGGACAGAAAAACGGAGAATATCAACATCTTCAAATGTCCCAGGAGAGTCCAAGGAAGTGTGGCGGGGAATGGGAATGACAGTCCAGTTGCCATTGAAACTCCAGATGTCGTGGAAGCTCCATCTTTTATGATATTCGATGCTACTGAAAATACCTTGTCGTAACGGGTCCTTTGCCTCCTTTTCGATCTCTTGTATCACTCCCTCGACAATTGTCACTACTTCCCTCCTGACCATGTTTACTGCATTTGTCACAATACTCTGGAGTGATATTGCCTTAGCATGCATCTCCAGCCTCTCTTCAAACAGTCTCTCTCTTTCTCCTTCATCTCTTTTGTAAGGATCAGGCTTTGAGATCTCCTTCTCCATTAGAATGCCTTTGATTCTGTTCATCAATTCAGTGAACATCTCACTTTCCCCATCTTCAATCATCTTAACCTTCTCCTCTCTGATATTCCTTAATGTTTCCCTCCATATATCTTGAACACATCTGGCAAGTTCTTCTTGGAAGACAGTTTCTAGTTCACACTTAATCACATTCATTGGATTCTTCACAATTCCCCACCACTGCATGTCTTGCATCTGCTCATGACACCATGCATGTACATATATGCCCTGCATATCATCAATGTTCCTCAGAAGCTCTGTTGTGATGTTCCTTAGAAGTTCTGCCCTGATGTTCCTCAGCAGCTCCACTTCGATCCTCTTCACCGCCTCCTTCCTCACGTCTTCTGTTGCGATTCCAGCAAACCTTGCCACTGCCATCTTTCCGATCATCCTCACCACCTTCACACTGATCCCAATCACCACCAAATATTTTATATTCTCCAACTTTGCAATCATATCCCCCAAACCTCCCTCCTGGAGAAGGAGTGAGTGCTCGATTTCCTCCATCTCCATCCCGATCCTCTTCATGAGCTCTTCTCTCCGGCTTAAGGCCGCTTCCCCGACGTGAGTCTTGCTTCTTTGTGCTCTGATCTCATTCACCACTTCCTGCCCAATCCTCCTCAACACTATCTCTTCTGCATTTCTCACTACCTCCACTCCGATGCTCCTCGCATTATCTTCTGTGATGTTCCTCACCACCCTTTCTGCAACGCTCCACACCATCTCCTCTCCGATCCTCTCCGACACGATCTCTTCGATATTCTTGAGTGGCTCCCCGATGATTTTCAGCACATCATCTCCAATGGGCTTCAAAGCCTTCTCCCTGTAACCCCCTTTTGCTATCTCTTCGGCAACCATCACCAAATTACATCTCAACTTCTTCACTGGCGAATCCTCAACAGCCGGCTCAATGCGAAGCTCCCTCGCAAACTCATTTGCCACGTTCTGTCCGACTCTTATCATCATGTTCTCTTTGATCCTCGTCACTACATTGCGTCTGATGATCTTTGCAAAATCCTCTCTGATCATCCCCACGAACTCCACAAGCTGATGATCTCTGATGTTGCTCAGCATCTCCTCGCCGATCCTACTGACCAACTTCTCTCCAATCCTCTCTCCCTCTTTCCAAGTCAATTCCTACAGCATGAGAAAAAGCCACATTTGAACAAGGCTGGTCTGCAGCAGGAAACAGACACCACAGATACAAAGAAAAGATCAGATGAGCAAAAAAAATGCATTGGGGAGGAGAGAGAAAGGTACAGAGAAGTGCTGAAATTCGAATTCCACGTTGCTCAGCCCTTTACTTGCCATAGCTCAGAAAATGTTTACAGTTGGCTTGATGCTTTAGGAGACTTCGAAACCTTTATTAAAATATATTTTCTGGAATTCAAGGTCAAAGGTCATATGATTTGTCCCTAGTGTTTTTCAAACTCCATGAAACAATCATATGAATGATCATCAAAAGAGCTTCAAAATGACACAAACTGCAACTCTCCAAATTAATTAGGACAAAACCTTGGTGCACTTGAGCAGTGACCACTGGAATGGAAATAGGTATTGGTTGGCAATGTTCAGATAGTTAACATTTCAGGAAGTGCACAACAATGAAACTGAGATGCAGATTCGTTCCTCAATGAACGATAACATTTTATGAAAATCAGGGGGGGCCTAAGGTATATGATGGAGTTGATTTCATGTCGAATAACCCATACTTATAAATAGGAACAATATTGACACCACTCACTTGGAAGTTGCCTTCTGCCATTGTCATGAATGTGCAGTTTTATCTGCAAAATGTGAAACTTGATGAAAACTAAATAACACCAAAAAAGTCAGGTTTCAACTGGAAAACAAGAGGAAAGCCCTTTTTCTCTTTCCCTTGCAACTATAATGGCTAGATTTGCTTGCTGATTCTTAAACTTTTGTGCAAATGAAGATCACAGAACAGAGGTGTCAAACTCAATTAAGCTGGGGGCCAGACAGAACCAATCCGGGGGGGGGGTTGGGACAAACAAATCTTCCACCAAATTTTTAATGCAAATGGGTTGAAATTTATGGTGCTTTCCCAAAACCAGTTCTTGAAGAGGAGTTTGCAGGCTGGGCAAATTGAACTGGTAGGCCAGACCCAGCCCATGGGCTGCCAGTTTGAAACATCTGACATGGAGCTTGGCCTCCTGATAGGTTGCAAAGCGAGGGAGGGAGTGCTGTGCGGATACCAGACCAAGAGGAGGGAGGACTGCAGGCATTGAGCAGAGGCTCACCAAGTTATACCTGCAGAGTCAAAGGGGGTCACTCACATGCATCATGTGTGGGGGAAAGGGGAGCATCTAAATCTGGTTATGGTTCTGCAATTGTTCTTAGTTTGGGAGGGGGACTACCAGTTACCAGGTTGAGATCCTCAGCAATGAGGTTTTCCCATCTCTGAAAGCATGACACCATTTCCTTTTGCGGGGCCGTATGCCCTCAAAATGACGGAGTTGAATTTGTTGCCTGCAGCAGCATGGCCATGGCCAGGAGCTGCAAGAGTTTCTACACCAATGCCCAGAGAATGGAGAATACCTCACCAACTCGGCTGGTAATGCCCCAGAAAGCAGACAAAAAATGTAAATGGCTAGTCATGGTTGTATTAAATCAAAAATGCATTTAGATTACTTCAGGATGGAAATGCCTTTCCCAAAATATATCTGCTGAGTAATATGACATTACATTTTACCTGCAGGGAGTAAAGAATGGGAAAAGAAAGGACTGTCTGCCTGAGGTATGCAGCTCCCAGACAATTTGAAAAAAAAAATGAAAACAAAGAGAAGAGGGTTAAAGTTGATAAATAAATAAAATTTAGTGCAAGGAGGGAAAATCCATTGTTGCTCAATATGTCTCTGTTGGAATTTTCCACGTTCACACTAAGTTATTGTTACTCCTTCCCCTACCCACAATTCTATTAATATGCAAACCTGAAGAAGCATGCGAGAAACTCCTTGCACCACTTTCAAACTGCTTTTTAGTTCCGGTCCGCATGTCTCTCGGGGACGTCACACTCCTTCCACCGTCCCACAAAAGGAATCCTGTTTCCCTGAAATGAATCTTTCCCGTCAGAGTCTCAGTTTTCAAGCACCCAGTGAGAACCGGGATCGAGACCACAACCCATCAGCCGTCTCAGGTGAGGGAGACATGGGGATGCATTTAGACCTAAGACTGATTGTGCGGGCCTTCAAACGAAAAAGACCTATCAAACTGAGAAATTTGAAGGCCCAGGTGAATTAAAATACCTTGAGAGCCCATGTTCCAATCATAGGCCTAAGGCCCAATCTCAAGGTCAGGGTTTTAGCCCAACCTCATTCTGCTTTTAAGAGTTCAAATAATACGACACAGGTTTGGAATGATTCATCACATTCTTATCGGACTACTTATCTCCTACCACTTCCTTACTTAACCAGTCATTTCTTATCTCACTCTCCAGGCACACCAGCGGCGTATTTGCGACACACATTGCACGTGCAGCAATGGACGAGACGGAGAGAGAGAGAGAGAGAGAATGTTTAGTCTGCCTAAATGCGCATCTCAAGTGAATCAATACAAGAACCGGTAACTCGGGCAAGGCCAGAAAGTGTATACACACAGACATGACCCTGAGCGCGAAATTCACACACGGTCGCACGTGCTTTCCATTCTCATTCACACGCAGGAGCAACACGTAGAGGCCTGCAGTGGGTGCGGGTCGGCCTGACCACTTTTCCACGTGATCTTCCTTTCTATCTCGCGTTGCACCCATGCAGAGACATAGAGGCCTGCACGGGATGCGGGCCGTCCTGGAGCTCCCATCTACGTGATCATCCATATCATGCCATCGCGTAAACACGCATGCGGAGTCACGTAGAGACCTGCACAGGATGCGGGCCGGTCTCCCGACTTCCTCATCCACGTGATCTTAAACCCACCAGCCCGCATTGCAAGCACGAGCAACTCACGTAGAGGCCTGCACGGGATGCGGGCCGGTCTGACCAAACCAGGCTGTTTTTAAGGCCGAAATTCCATAGATCACTTCTCCTGTCAGGCTGAATTTTTTAATATTTTAAATATCAGTCTTGCCTCTCAGCTGAGACCGTAGACTGTCGGAATCCGTACTTCAAGTGAACCGTGAAAACCGAACGAGCAAATTCTCTCGCTGGAGAGCGGGATCGACCGCCCGGCCTCTCTATGTACGAACCCGCAGCGCGATGGGGGCCCCTATTCCGCCCTCCATCCATTCGCCTACGGCGTTATAGCAATACTGGCTGGCCCTGCAAAAGGCCATGCACGAAGCCTTCTGGGCCTGATTCCTTCCCGCATGCGAACGATACGAATCTGCTTGAAGATCCTCGTTCTCTGATGAAAGGATTACTAACTACAGCAGAAAAAAAGAGTAGAATTAAAAGGAATGGCCTTAGGATCTCTTACAAGAACCCAACAGAGAAGAGATTCATCCAATTCTCGCTTTCCTTCTGCTCTATTTTTCTATAGGCCTTCATTGTCTGGCTTTTTCTTCTTCGCATTTACGTTAACGAATGAAATAAAGACTATTTTCCTCCTGATATTTTAAATTTAATATTACTGTTGCCTCCCTCCCATTGCCATCACTAATCTTGATGCGAGGTCGAAGTACTAAGGTATTGAGATCGCTCGTGAAGGTCAGGTGTGCTTGTTATTGCCTGGGATGACCACACTTCCTTTGCAGAGGAGGGCTCTATTTTCAGAGGATGGCTCTATTAGGAGCGGAGGGCTCTCATTGGCTGGCGGCCGCCCGCCCGACTCAGTGACCTCGTCGCACCTCTCCGTGGCGGGTTGATGAACGGCATCGACCCAGCTCTCGCCGATGTTCTCCCAGCGTCGACAGCATTCCCGTGAGACTTTCCTGTGTTCCAAATGCGTCCAGGTCCCAAAGAAATCTCTTCGAAACTGAACTAATCCCGGGAAATCGCCAACGGTGTGTCACTTCGCCGACTTAGGCCAGGCGGTTCCCGATCCGGTTTGGTGGGAGAAAGAGTGGGAGGACTCGGAAGTAAAATCACATGGTTATTTAAAGCTATTTAAAGCGGTTATTTATAAGTCATTTATGTCGTTATTTGTTCCTTCACGGTCGTATTTTGTCACGGAGCAGTCTCTTTCAGGCCGCTTTACGGTAACTCCAGCAAAAAAAAAAAAAAAAATTCAATCAGCGTTGTATGAACTGAAATTTTGGAAAATGAAATGAAAATTTTGAACCTTCCCACTGTTGTTGTGGCGTTGCATCCAGCATTAAGTCAATATTTCAATGTCGCCCATCGCAATGCTCAGATGAACGTTGAAATTCAGCACTGAACGTCGGACCAACATCGACAACGTTATTTGCTTCAAATTGTTTGCAGGGACCCCAGTAGCACCCCTAGTGCTGGGTCGGTAAGGACGATCAAGGACTATATATATTTCGTACTGAAAGTACTAATTACATTACGGTTACGGTTCCGTGCGTTCTCCTCAACTGGTGGTGGGAATCACAACACTATGTACGTCAGAGCTGATACAAATCGGGGATTTATTTAAAAGAGGTACAGCGGCCAGGACCGCACCTAGGGGATAAAAGGGGTAACCACGCCGTTAAGTAATTAAGCTAATACACAATCAAAAAATCGACCAATCAATCAATGATCCTGGAAGAAGGCGATCGGGGACATTTCCACCCGTGAGACGAAGGGGATCGGGGGGATTTGGAATGTCTAATCCCGCAGTGTAAAGCGGTAGGTGCTTATCGCCCGTGAATGATGAGTGTATAAGATACAGCGCGTCCACGCCCAGAAAGGAGCACTTTTAGTCCACAAAGGAGCCCAAGTAGCTGGCTTGCCACATTCAAGCCCTCAACCCCTTCCTTCCCTCTCCTCCAATTCACGCCCACGGCCTAAGGGCGGATTCAGTGGCGTCCGGCTCCAAGCCGGGGAGGGGGGTCGGCCACCCCGACCCCGAGATGCAGATCACTCAGCATGCGAATTCTCGTGGACTGTCTTGCGCTAAGCTTCCAAGTCCGCCTTTGTTGCTCTTTTTACGTCTCTGTTCGGTCTCTTGCTGGGCTTCGACAGGCTTTGACAAGTTATAAGAAATGTCATCCCATTATGGGTCCATGCCGACTGGTCCTTTCTGGGACTGGACGAGCTGTACATGAGCTCTCTCCCACCAGATAGGGAAAAAGGGGGGGGGGGGGGGGGGGGGGGGG